TTTGTTGGCGTTTACTTGCTTGTACTATTTTCTTAAAATTTTTTGTATTTCTGTGTGTCTGTTGTCAATTGTCCTTTTTCATTTCTGATTTTATTAATTTGGGTCTTCTTGCTCTTTTTTTTTATGAATCTGGCTACAGGTTCGTCAATTTTGTTTATCTTTTCAGAAAACCAGCCCTTGGTTTCATTGATGTTTTGTATTGTTTCTTTTGGTCTCTATTTCGAGTTTTTCTGCTCTGATCTTTATTATTTCCTTCCTTTTATTCTTTTTGGGCTCATTTTGCTATTCGTTTTCCATCTCACTTTGGTGTAAAGATACTGTTGAGTTGAGATTTTTCTTGTTTCTTTAGGTAGGCCTGCATTCCTATGAATTTCCCTCTTAGTACTCCTTTTGCTGCATCTCATAGATTTTGGGTCATTGTGTTTTCATTTTTGTTTGTCTCAAAGTATCTCTTGATTTCTTCTTTGATGTCATTGTTGATCCATTCATTATTTAGTGGCATGTTATTCAGAGTCCATGTGTTTTTGTGTTTTCCTTTCTTCGTGTAATTGATTTCTAGTTTGAAAGCACTGTGGTCAGAGAAGAAACTTGACATGATTTCAATCTTCTTAATTTTATTGAGACTTGTTTTGTGGCCTATCATGTGGTTTATCTGGAAAATGTTTCATGTGCACTTGAAAAGGATGTATATTCTGTTGCTTTGGGGATGAAATGCTCTAAATATATTGATTAAATCCATCTGGTCTAATATGTCATTTAAGGCCACTCTTTTTGTATTCAAGAGCTGTTCATTGATGTCAGTGGTGTGTTGAATGCCTTACTATAATTTTGTTTATGCTTATCTCTGTATGCCTTTCAATACTTGTTTTATATATTTAGGTGCTCCTATATTGGGTGCATAGATATTTAAGAGGGTTTTGACCTCTTGTTGGATTGATCCCTTTATTATTATTATGTAGTACCTTTCTTTGTCTTTTATTATAGTCTTCATTTTAAAGTGTATTTTCTCTGATATAAATATTGCTATTCCTTTTTTTTCCTTCTAATTTCCATTTGCGAGAAATATCTTATTCCTTCTTTTACTTTCAGTTTGTGTCTTTTTATCTCAGTTGGGTCTCTTATGAAAAGCATATGCATGGGTCTTGTTTTCTTATCCACTCTGCTACCCTATATCTTTGGATTGGAGCATTTAATCCATTTACATGTAAATGATTACTGATAGGTACATAGTTATTACCATTTTATTATTTTTATTTCTCGTCTTCATTAGTTAGTTTGTTTTTACCTTTCTTCTGCTTAAAGAAGCCCTTTTAACATTTCCTACAATACTGGCTTGATGCTAATAAATTCCTTTGTTTTATTCTTTTCTGAGAAGCTCTTTCTTCTTCAATTTTAAATGATAGTTTGCTGGGTAGAGCAATCTTGGTTGTAGGCCTTTGTTTTTCATCACTTTGAATATTTCTTGCCACTCCCTTCTTGCCTGCAAAGTTTCTGTAGAAAAGTCAGCAGATGGTCTTATGGGAGCTCTCTTGTAAGTAACTAGCTGTCTTTCTCTTGCGGCTTTTAAGATTCTCTTTGTCTTTAACCTTTGCCATTTTAACTATGATATCTCTTGGTTTGGCCCTGTTTGGATTCATCTTGTTTAGGACTGTCTGCACTTCCTGGGCTTGTATGTCATTTTTCTTCACTAGGTTAGGGGAGTTTTTGATCATTATTTGTTCAAATAGGCTCTTGACCCCTTGCCTTCTCTCTTCTCATTCTGGTACTCCTATGATGCGAATGTTGTTGTGATTGAAGTTGTCTCTTAAACTACTTTTATTGTGTTTTTTTTTGTTGTTGTTCTGCTTGGGTGAATTCTGCTATCTTGTCTTCTAAATTGCTGATTTGATCCTCTGCTTCTTCTAATCTGCTGGTGACTCCTTCTCGTGCATTCATCATTTCAGTTATTGTTTATTTATGACTGGTTATTTTTCATGGTTTCCATACCTTTCTTTATGCTTACTCTCTCTTTGTTGAAATTCTCACTAAGTTCCTTAGGCATTCTTACAATCAGTTTTTAAACTCTGTCTCTGATAGGTTGGTTGCCTCCATTTCATTTATTTCCATTTCCGGAGATTTCTTCTGTTCTTTTATTCGGGACATGATTCTTTGTTTCCTCATTGTGGCTGCTGCTCTGTGTTTGCTTCTGTCTATTAGGTAGATCACCTATGTCTCTCAGTCTTTGCTGGGTGACCTCATGTAGTATGTGTCCTTTGTAGTCGAATTGCAAAATCTCCCTAATCTCCTGTTCCAGAGGTGTCTCTTGTGTTGTGTGTGTTCTCCTGTTGTAGTTGAAACTTGATTGTTTTTGGCACATCAGTGGGTGGGATTGACTCCCAGGGTAACTAGCTATGAGGATTGGCTATGCCCATAGTGTATGAGTTGCTGTTTTCGGGCAACTCCTCAGAGGAAGATTTGGCCCTGTGGGCTTTTGTGCCTGTTGAGACGGCCCTTTGGTTGTGCCACTTGTGGGGCTAACCAGGTAGTGCTCTGGCATGGTCTGAAGCTGCCCTCTTGGTGTGTTGTTTCTGGTGTCACTTGGGTGGGGCTCTCATGCAGGACAATTTCAGCATTGCCTGTTACCAGCCTGTAGCTACCTGGTAGGTGCCTCAAGGCTGTATGCAGTTGGCTGCTGCCCGTGCTGGACCTGAAGGCATGTGTGGGTGGCCTCTTTGTGAACTGAGGCTGGCTGCCCCCAATATTGGGCCTGAGGCAGTTTCGCAAAAGGCCCAGGGCCTCCTATACCTGTTGCCACCTGTCAGCTGTTGAAAGAGGCTCCATCATTCCTCTTTTACTTGCTTTTCTTCACTGACTACAGTTTGTAAACACATTCATTATTTGTTTGTTAGTTCATTAATTAATTATATATTCACTAGAATGTAAGCTCCCTGAGGATAGGAATTTTGTCTGTCTTACTCAGTGCCTGGATTAATGTGAGAGGAGGGGCTCAGTATAGATTTGTTAATTGAATGGATGAGTGTGAAGTCACTGCAAAGAGCATCAGAGCTTCATATAGAATCATCTTAAAATTTAAGATGGAAAAGCTTTGTTTCCATCAAAATCACCCTTAGATTAAGGGATGAGTGCTTATTCTCATGGGAGAAGTAAAAATAAACAAAAACAAAAAACAAAAACAAAAACAAGGTGTATCCTGATGGCAGGGAAGCAAGGCTATCTGCAGGTCAGAGCGCCAGCCTTAATGGAGGGTCCCTGTCCTCCATGCTGTGTGGCCTCTCTGATCCCTAGGGCATCTCTTTGTGTCAAATAAATGTCCTTCCTATTACTTTATGACAGATCATGAGGACTATTTTGTATTTCAAAACTGGATATCTCTTGGGCTTCATCTAACTGCTGAAAAGTTTGTTTGCTCTGTAACAATATAAATAAACACACTTAGAACAGGAGGCTAAATTTTATTTTCTTTCTTTAGCAAAGCATAAAAACAAACAAAACAATGCTCCTGCCTAAACTTGACCAAAACTTCATAATTACAGGAAGGAAAATATGTATGAGGACATTTTATTTATTCAATAGCAGGCAAGGAAATATTTTATGCTACAAGGATCTTAGGTAAGGGGAACATGTCATAGCAGTTAAGAAGTGGCTGCGGAAAGTGTCGCACTTATGAGGAGGCAATAGATTTTCTCATGAGGTACATGGGAGCACCCTTTATTAAACCAAGAAATCAGTGCTAGGTAAGCAGGCTTTGTGTTAAAAGCCAGACACGCCATATTTCTTTTCTTTTTTTATTAAAGTTTATTAGGGTGACAATTGTTATCATATTTTTTCGTATATTTAGGGAATTTCTATTGCTTTTGATTCTCTGTGACATCGTTTCTTTTCAAACACAAATTGGTGTGCGTGTGTGGGGGGGTATGTGTGTGTCTTAAGCAAGTAAGTACTCTAATTCCAAATAATTATTTAATAATATTTTAATTTGTAATTTGATAGAAAACAGAAATATATAAATGGCACCCTGAAAATATCAGAAGGATAACAAAAGTTATTTTTTAATTATTATTATTATTATTATTATTAGGTCCTGTCTCTACCTTGTCCTTGTTTTCTCCTTGCCCCACGCTTTTCACTTGCAGAGTAATGAATCCTTCCTTCTCAGACTCTCAGAGAAGCAATTTATTTTCACATTTTCAAAATTTCAGATCTCTTGTAATTAAATATGACACAGTGATCAGGGAAAGGGAACGCATTATTTGAAAAATAAAACCATTTTTTAGTGTGAGCTAGCACAGCAGACTAAATCTGAATTTTGAACTTATTTTCGAATTGTGCACTGGCATCTGGCATTTTAGAGAGATATATTATCAGAAAGTTTACATTTTGAGTAAAAAGTTAAAAGATACGTCCATAAGCTAAACATCCTCATGCTGTGTTTTAATATGCAGATAATCCTTATTCTGACCTGGGTTTGGAAGCTTGATCGGGACAGGCCTTTAAACTGCATTTAGGACATGGTGTTCTTTAGAAAGAAAGCTGCTTATTTTTCTTTTCTCCAGGGGAACTTCATTTTAGGACAAGCACAAAGCTGGGAACATAACCAAGGGCAGAAAAAAAATTCATCCGCATGTTCTATTTGTCAAGCTGACCTGCAGGTCACAGCCTAAAAGTTTATGGATCGGTGAGGCCTTGTCTCTGCATAAGCATGTTTTCTGGACTTTGGCTGAAGCTAAATTCCTGACTTCTGAAAGAGGAGTGGGTGTGGACTTCCAGCAGGAATAGCCAGTGGGAAGGAAGTAATATTCATTAAGAGTGTCTCATGCAAGCAGTGCTGGGCTAAGCATGCTCAGTGTAAATTCTCCTGTAGCCTGTCAAGCTATGTTTGAACTCGTTCCAGAATACTGGACTTACTTTTTTTTTTCCACCAGGAAGAATGCTCGATTAGACTGCATTTTGCCCTGCTTTCTCTCTCTTTGTCTCCCTTTCTTTTCTCTCTCTCTCTCTCTCTCTCTCTCTCTCTCCCCCTCTCTCTCTTTCTTTCTTTCTTTTTTTCTGCCAGAAAATTGGAAACAATATTCTTTTCTGATCAGTTCAGTAATACAATGTCCTTCAGTGTCCACATGAACATTTCAGTGGAGAAGAAAAGAAACTTTGCTACCTGGGAACTGAAGACTGCTTAGGTCAGTGAATGCTAATAAAGTCCTTAAGGACTTATGGAACCAGGAGTTAACTTTTCTCAACTGTTAAGGTAATCTGCAGCAAATTTAATTGCCTTTTCAAATAAGTGGGTGTACACCATTTTTTTTTTCACACAAAAAGTATGTTTTTCATATGTTGGAGTGATTTTCCAAATACAGGGAAAATATGTCTTTTGGTTAATTTGCATTTAAAAGAACTCCTTTTTGCATTAGAGGTTTTTTCTCTCTACCACAAATTATGTGTTTTTCAAACAAATATTGTGGTGAGTTCATGTAACCATAATGATCTGAATGTGGGTGTGTTCTGTGTTATATTAATTCTTGGCGTGGGTTGGTTTGGTGAAAGTTGTTGCTTTTGTTGCTGTTAAAGATGAAAGAGAGTTTGTTTTTCATTGCTATTGTTTTGGGAACTTTTGGTGGGCTATGAGACTGCATTGTGAGCCCCTCCTAGAGAGAAAAGACATCTCTTGCTATATTTAATGCACATTCAACTCTAATTCTAAGAAAGGGGTACACATTTTTTTTTAAAGACTCTGTAGAAGTGGAGTTTTTTTTTTAAATGTAGCTTTGGAGGTAAATAGCATTTAGAAAGGTAGAAACAAGGTTTGAAATAAAGAAATTAAATCAAGATCTTCTTGGTGACTATAAGCAATAAATGCAAAAAATGCTACATGCTATATCCTCAACTGATTTAGTTTAGGTTAATATTCTTACTTTTTAATTTAAAAAAGTGGATCAGACTTTAATGTGTTGCCTTATAATATCAATTGTCAACACAGAAAAATCAGATTCCAGAGAATTAGGATCTCAGAAAAACCAAGTTGGCAAAGGTGGCCCCTTTAAACATCTGAGGACTGAGGTTATGCAACTACATGGCTTCACGTAGAATCAGTGCATCCTGAGCCAAAGCAGTTTAATTTTATTTAAGAATTTTAAAACTAAAAGGGGATTGCTTTCTTTTCAAAAAAGAATGTCCAGGAAAGGATTATTGAACATTGAGGGATTTAATATTTGCTGGAACACAAAGCATCACATATTATCAATGTGTAAATCCAACTTGCCAGCTATTCAGGGGATGTAAACAAAAGTACCACAGTTCTGTATGGGATCAAATGCAGCAGCAGCCCTGCCCTTCATTCTCCATTTTCTTGTCCCAGAAAGGGATGGTAGAGGTGGGCCAGGGTGTGAAATAAGACTTAGCTGATGAGCTGACCTTGTTCTTTTAACTTATGTTCATCTGTTTTTACTGGGCAACGGAAGCAGTGAGCAAAGTGGGAAGGGACCTCAGGGAGAGGAGGAAGAGGTGGCCAGACACTGCCAGTGCCGTGATCTGCTCCCCATCCTGTGATTAGACTTAAGTAGGGGAGCTAAGTGGATGCGTCTAAATCCACTTCCTTCTGCTCCCAGGGCTTTGATTTAGTACCAATTGCTGCCATTCTGCACCTGCCTCTGTTTTTCATAAGTAAAAGCTTCTCTGATGCATCAATGGTGGTTTATTTGATATAGATCGATCCCCAAGGAGATAGCCAGAGTAATTCAGGCTTGTTTTGGTTTTTCCTTTCTTCCCTAACATGTGGCAGAGATCTTGATGAGTTTAATTGAAACAACAAATCCTTTCTGTGATGGGAAAGCACAGTTGTCCATGAAATTGTGTGTGTGTGTGTGTGTGTGTGTGTGTGTGTGTGTGTGTGCGCGCGCGCGCGCGCGTGTGCGCTTTGCATGTGCACGCACGCACGCATACGCGTGCCACTTGCAGTCAGGGTTCTGAAACAGTGCCGCTTGGAAGGCTTTGCACAGCTGAGGGCATTTGTCTGAATTCAGGGACCTTTTAACTGCCTCGGTTCAGCCTGTATTGAAAGAGAGGGGACACCCATTCTGGAGCATTGTATAACTCTTTTCTCTGACTTTCCTTTCCTACCCTTGTACCCATCCCTAACCCTGTACCTCCTTCATGACCTATGTCTTGAAGAATAGCACTGATACTTTTTGAGGCACAAAGGAAAGCCAAAGGGTAGGCAAAGAGGCAGGGAATGAACAAAAACAGGCATCCTTATGTTCACATCTGGATAAAATTTGGATTGTGACAAGGGAAAGTGAGTGGGAGAAAAAAAATTGGCATCGCATTAAAAAAATGCATGTAATTGACTTCCTAGAGGATTTCTTGTCTCAAGTTTTCTGAGTGTTTTTGTATCCTGCCCACACCCTACTCATTGGGCTTGGAGAAGGCAAGTATTATGTTCTTATTTTGTAGTTAAGTCCAGTGGTTTGTCCATAGCAGTGACCAAGTTAGAACTAGCACACAAAGACCTCAAACTCTAGTCCAAGACTCTACCTACACAATAATAGGAATAACCCGGTGTCAGTTTCTGTATCTTGGACTCAGTTTCTCCATTTAGCTGGAGGTTTTAGACAATAGTTATTTTGTGCAAAACATTCTCAAACTGAATCAATTACTATAATGGTTTCTTAAATTTGAGAAGTACTTGAAACCTTTCGGGGAACTTTCACATCTTTCCTTTTATTTCCTCTTTAACATGACCCATTAAATAGATTGGACTGGTTTTGATATTTTCACTGGATACATGATAAAAATGAAAGATCGAATGACTTGCTGTCTAAGGTCAGACAGAGGCCGGATAGGAGTTTGGGTTGCCCAATGCAGGATTTGAGACTCTAGGCCATCCTGAATCTATGTGAGGACCTCTGTGTTACTGAGGTAGAGAGGCTATAGGAAGAGGAGTTCCATGGTTCAGAAGGCAGAAAGCGTGGCAGGGTCAGGGACTTTCAATATTGTTAGTCCCATTATGAAAAAGAAAAGTCAGATGGGAAAAGTTATATACTTCACCTGCAGTCACACATAGGGAGCTGGGGAGCTGGATTGGAATCCTATCTGTGGGACCCCAAAGTGTGTACCATATGATATAGTGACAGAGCACATGGACTTTGCTGGGTTTCTCTGTATCTCTTGTTTCTTGTATGTAGAATGGGGAGACCTAGCATAGAGTTGCTGTGAGGATTCTATGAGATGATGTACATAGAATACTTAGTGTGACACTTTGGACAGAGTAAGCCCTATGGTGCTGTGAATGGTGCTGCTCTTGCTGCCTGTGTTTTGTATCACCCAAGATAAGTGCCAGCTTTTCTCACTGTGAATCCCAAAAAGCTCTTCGCTCAATTCCCAGATCCTCAGGGTGGTTGTGTTGGTGAATTAGCATCCTCAGATGAGTAGTACTTACAGTATATTTATTGAAAATACAAGCGCTGTTCTGAATAGTACAGGAGGCTAAGGCAAAAGCAGTGGTTTACTTGATTTCAGTCTTGGGAGAGACTGGGGAGAGGTGATCCAGGCAGATACATGTGAGACAAGCAGTACTGTTGAGTCAAATCTAGTTACCTTTGGTGACTTTCCAATGCTTCTGAGCAGGCTGCTTTGATGTGCGACATCTCTGTGAAGGAAAGAATGAAAGAAGTTATTTCAGGCTCATTCATCTGATGGATATTGAAAAACAAGCAAAGGCACATATGCAGATGAGCTATAGAATTGTCAAGATTTTCGTATTTATTAGTCCTTCTGACCAGCACTGACTGGGCTGTTGAGATTGATAGAGAATCTGTGCTCCAAAGCTCCTAAGCTTACACATGGCGCTACGTCAGAAAGATCCCCTTGGAGAGAGAGAAAGCTCACGGGCCCACTTCTGACCAAATCAGTGGCTTGTAATTGAGTAGTCTCTGTATAAATACACAGTTACAGGGCTACAAAACCAAATGAAGGGCGTGACTCCTTCCCTCAGGCAAGTTGACTAAATGGGACATATAAAGGCAAGAGCACTTAAGTGCAGATCAACAGAACAGGTGTGGTGGTACCAAAGTGGGAAGTGAACTTCAGGGGCAGTGGATAATAAGTAAAGATTTTAAATGTTTATTTTAAATTCTTTAGAGTTCAGTGTCCTCCTCACTGCAACCTTCAGCCATGTGTTCATGTTAGGAAGGGAAGGCCACTGTGGGGGTGGGGTAGGGAGTGTAAGTAGATGTTGTTGCATTAAGCATCTATTATGTGCTCAACACTAAGTCTTATGCTTTACCAACATTAGCTCCTTTAAAGTTCACAATATCTGTGGGAAATTTAAAGAGGAGGAAATATGTTCTGAAACAAGAAGAGTATATGGTCACTGAGGCAAAGAGGGTTCGCGTGATCGATCAACAAAGCATATGATACCATGTGACTAGGAAGGCCTCCAAGAAGCATGTTCAGTAGGAAAAGATGGCTGTGGTCTGATAGGCTCTCAGCTATTGAGTGGTATTTCTGCAAATTCCTTAGATGGGAGATGCTTAAGATACCTATGTCTTGCTTAATTCTGTATCCATCAACATGCATTGTCCAGAATTAGGAAAGTCTGGTCCTCTGAAGAATTAGTGCTTAATTAGCTTTATGCATACAACAATTGCAAATTATCAGTTCTCCCCCACCGCTACCCCAAATAGGTCCTTAAAAGTTTTACAGCTTCAGAGTGAAGGTCTCAGCAATTGTTAGGTAGTATTGTGTAGATTAAAAAGAGAATTTCAAGTGAAATGGTTGAGATTTGGGTCCTGGAATTTTCTAGCTGTGTGACTCTGAGTAAACTATTTCACTTCACTGTGTCTTAGTTTTCACATCTGAAAATTGGAATGTCACTAGAATTTCCTCAGATGGGATGATCAAATGTGAAAGTGATTTTTTAAAGAATTTAGTCTTGCTATACAAATGCCTGTTGTTATTCTTCCCCCCACCCCACCCCCAACCCCCAACTATTATCTCAGAGTTCTAGTTCTTTTACCTTTTCTGTTCTGAAAAGGCTTTCTCCTTCACTTACTTAGATGGAAGGAGGCATGCGTAAGTGAGCTGGGCAAAATACTTTCTATCAGAGTACTGAAAACTCTTTAGTTGCCCTAATTAACTTTACACTTCCTGAATTAGTGAAAGGTTGGATAAGACAGGGGAACTAGACAGAAATTGTAGTCAGAGCAGAATTTATTTGACTATAAGAAGTTCCTGCATGCAGTGAGAGATGAA